TCCATTTTCATTTTCTTTAGTATTTTCTTGAAAATTTTTAGGATAATTTTTCTGGCATTTACCATTTTTCATACATGGTGCAAATGGATTTAAAATACTACATGAACCATGCATTATGCAAGATGCTACTGTTTCATAAGCAAGTGGATATATTGCAGGATCTGGAATTTCAGCAGAAACAATTGAATCATATTGTTCAACAGAATGTATCTTATCTTCTGGAGCTAATATTAGTAAAATATGTGTATGAGGTAATCCACGTTACTGAAATTCTACTACATAAACATAAGTAATGACTTTACCAAACCAATGATTAATATTTAGATCTTTTAACAATTCTTGTAGTTTTATATGAAAAACTCAAGCTGTTAAATCAGGTATATCAGTAGCATTTTGGTTAGGTAATAATTCTCTAGTAATTTCTGGCCATTTTGGATTACATGTAAATGTTATAAAGAGATCCGGCTTTCCAAAATAACTTACAATAGTCATTGTATTTTAATATAACTGATACATTTGTCATGATCCACCAGTAAATGAAGATGGAAGAATTATACGACGTCCAATATTATTACTAATATCTCCAGCATCTATAGCATCTATAGTACTTTGATACATTTTAGTGCGAAGTGTTGTCTGATTTAATCTAAGATAATTTAAATGTTCTTGTTCTATTTAGCATATTGATCAACAATATACTATTAATATAAACGTCCTGCATATTGTAACCAATCTCCATTTCTAATTTGTAATCTATAAAAATAAAATTGCATTGGTATTATTCTTATTCTTTTTTAATGATCCTATAAGAGTTATATTTATATGCCAACCATCATCTCCTTTTGGAAATAAAAGTATATAATGTAATGGATCATATGATAGATAAGTTTCAGATATTCTTTGTAAACCTTTATCATGTAATCTAAGAACAATATCTTGATTGGTTAATTCTATATTATGACCATCACCAATCATAATTGCAGCTAATTCAGAAGAAGCAGAAGCATTATAATGATGTAGATTATGTGTTCTATCACTATGAATTATCATTGAAATTTCAGAAGTTATATTTGATAGAATAATATTTCTTACTTGACAAAAACTTTGAATATATGGATTGCATTCATCTAGCATATTTTGTAAATATAATAAAATATCATGATTTAAATCTTGCATAATATTTTTTTGATTTTCATTTTCATGTTCAGTAGCATAAATATATAATTGAGCAAATGTTGGGGAATGATTATTTTCTGGCAATAATGATCCAATGCAATGATAAACTTGTCCATGAATTCGAAAGTTAGATATTCCTTGTTTTTGAAATTCCTTATTTATATTAGCTTCAAATGATATGCATGCCAAAAGGATATTATATCCTCTTATATTTTTGTGAAATGAAGTTGCAATAGAATCTGATGAAGTATATAGATTTAACAAATATGATGGTGGTTTTAACAAAGGTGGTAAATTAACTTTACCACTGGTACAGCATACAGCAAGATGGAAATGTTAGGCTGATACTTTTATCTTTTTCATTTATCCAAAATTAGGCATTACAATGGGTGCAAATCTGATCCATTCTTCTCAGTTTATGACGTCTTATATCATTATATTGATGATTATTTAAATGATTTATGTTTGCTTTATGTTGGATTTTTTGTTTTTTTTGATAGTGAGATTGTCTTTTTCTACTTAATCTCTTTTTACGCTATTTAGAAGTTTCACATTCAAACATATCTTGTTGAGAAGCCATAGTAAATATCATGTATAGTTAATATTAAAAGCTGATAATCAAAAGTTATAATTATTAGGTTACATCTGATAACACATATTTATATAACAAAAAATTTTGGTATCAAAATATAACAATATCAATTGCATTGCATGTAGGTGATATTATCTGATGTGATACAATATTGTAATCTGGATACATTGTATATTGGCTTTTGAGCTTTTACTGATTAAATTAAATTTATTGTGATTTTTAAATATAGTATAATCTATTATTTCTATTATTTTCGATTTCATATTCAATATAACAATTTCGAATACATTGTATTTTAGTTTAAATGTTACTAAATGGTAATTTAATTCAAATATAATACAATCTATTATTTCTGATTAAATTGAATACAAACACAATAAGGCATATGGTACAGCCTTGCTATATGAAACTTACTATAATAAGCTGTCAACAAATGTGATTTGTGGTATCGTCTGATAGTATGTGTTTATTCATATTAATTGTTTTCGTTATTGTCTAGTTCAACAA